AAGCACAAATGAATAGAATTTAGTAACTAACATTATTGAAAATCCCAACTTAGCCCAAGACTCCTAACTGATCCAGAAGAAATAGATAGACAAACAGATTAGATAAAAAGACAGATATATAGAGTGTAGCTGAGTATATGTTACCCTAACTAGTACGTATTTATACACTGCATACCGGTGCTGGGAACCGCGAGATATTTCTGTCTTATGATTTAGTCGTGTCAAGTAGTTATGGTATTTATTATTTTTACATAACGCATTGAGTAAGGATGGAAATAGCAGCACGTCACCTGGCGCGTGGAACAGGGCGACAAGGTCCATGTGTTAAACTATGTTCCACTATATATAGCTATGTTAGTTACGATATGCCCAAATACTGCTCCGTTTCTCCTGCCCAGATTCACAAAATATTTCTGGACTAAGTAACGTAAGATTAATTTGGTTTTTAAGTTAGATGAAGCCAGATTGAAAAAAAAACCTTAAGTTATGTCACTTCTATGTTATCAACCCCTAAAGTTATGTCACCTCTATGTTATCAACTCCTGAAGTTATGCCACCTCTGTTATCAACTCCTAAAGTTATGTCACCTTTATTTATCAACTCCAGAAGCCATTCTACTTCTACGTTATCAACATCAGAAGCTATGTCACCTCTATGCTATCAACTCCTGAAGCTATGCCATTTCTAATGTTATCAACACCAGAAGCTACGTCACCTCTATGTTATCAACACTAGAAGCTATGTCACCTCTATGTTATGAACACTAAAAGCTACGTCACCTCTATGTTATCAACACCAGAACTATGTCACCTCTATGTTATCAACACCAGAAGCTATGTCACCTCTATGTTATAAACACCAGAAGCTACGTCACCTCTATGTTATAAACACCAGAAGCTATGTCACCTCTATGTTATCAACACTAAAAGCTGTCACTTCTATTTCCAATTCCAGATTTCCTACAAGTTACAACAAGACACACTTCCTGTTTGCTGCTGTTTATTTCACTACACCTTATTAATAAACACCTTATTTCACCTTACACTCGTATTTTACATAAAAGTTATTACGTCTTATAGGCAAGAGGGGTTTGCGGATGTCGCACCTCCCGATATCCCACCCCTATATTTATAAAACATATATTATAATTAATATTTTTAAATAAAACTTGTTTGAAACCTTTTTTTCTTGACCACATCAAGACCCAAGCTTCAAAAGTAACTCCCTCCACCTTATATATTTCTGTCTACGCCCCCCGTATTACCCTCTGTCAAACATGGCCATGGTTATGTACGTAATAGCTTTCTAACAGTTGTATTCCAAGACATACAAACACGCACAAGAAACGCCCCCTTGTCATATTTTATAACATTTGCTGGTCACTTCATTTTCAGTTCAAAACTTTTGGGAGAGGTGAAAAGTTACACAACTGTTGGTACTTTTCATAATTTGTTTTCTATGGCAGGAGGAGGAATGTGATGACATAAGGTCAAAATATAGAAAAGACTTCCACCCTCCATCTAGTCACCTTTTAAGGACTCGCGAATTTTGTTTATTATCATTAGCAGTACTACAGAATAATAGGCTTTACTTCGTTTAACTGCATATGCCAGAGTGACTTCAAGCTAGGTCTGGGTCTGCTAGGTCACGTGCTTCCTTGACCCCCAACTATATAAACAGTGGCAAATCTCTATTACGGTGTTATTGAAAAAAATTGTTTTTTTTTCCTCGCACGCGCCATTGGCATTTCACTTGCGAGTTCCTGAGATTAAACAAATGCACGTGGTCGCCATCTGCATTAAATCATTTTCCAGTTAACATTGAACACGCGATCATCTTTGGCTCTGACTGTAGGACAAAGAAAGAGGGGGAAGGGGGGGAATGTTTGAGTGAAAAGTAACATTCAGTACAAAACCTTGTTTGAATTCAAAATTGAAATACCACCCGGTACCACACTCCCTTTGATTTTCTTAAAGAAAACCTTACCACGATTGTGAGGATACCCTTTTCTACTCTTTGTTTTGCCTTAGACAACTACCTAGCACCCAATTCCCGCTTTATATCTCTGGTGTAGATAGTTAATTTAAATCAGGCCTATACACTAGGAGAGCTGTAACTATGGGGACAGACAGCAAAATCGTAACTGTGGAGACAGACAGCAAAACCGTAACAATTGAGACAGACAGCAAAGCATGTGCTATTTGAAACTATTCGTAAATATTGTTACGTCTCCGTTCGTTCGTTAATTATCCGTAAATTCGTTCTGACGAAACTTTAGCGACACAAGTCCTTTCTTAAATAAAACTGGTTCATTCTTTCTGAATATAACTTTGCGATACACTTAATTTCAACAGTCGCTCTATAACAAACACTATAATTCATGTCTC